CTGATAATGAAGGTATATTTTGAAAAAAAAAGGAAACTATCTTTTGGAATACAAAAAGCATGATTCAGAATAAGCAGTCCATAACTAGTTTTAGTTTCCAATAGGTGTTGTAAGAAAAACAATTATATCATTTTTCTCAGGGAAAATGACAGAATTGAGAAAATTGTGTGATTTTGTTTATAGTCATTTTTTTCTAAAAGGTATTCTAAAGAATGTCAATTCTAATTACTCATTATTTCATTTTATAAATATTGAGAGCCTTTTGTGACAAACAGCTCAAATTGATTCTGAGGGGTAAAAATGTCAGTAGCTTAGTGCTAGAGCACTTGCCTAGATGAGCATGGCACTAGGATGGATCCCCAGAACCACAAAACAAGAAACAAAAAGAAATTCCAGTGAGGTTTGTGTGACTATAAATAAGCTTATGATGAAATTTATAAAGAAAACAAGCAGCCCACAATCGTTAACTAGCTATAGTAGCTTTGCAAAGAAAAACAAAGAGGACTCACTTCACTTGATATTTAAGCCTACCATACAGATACACAAATCAAGGACCATAGTATTGGCAGATGGATGGATATATAAGTATAGAATAAAGAATGAAGAAATCAACACATAAACCTGCACAGTGGATTTTGAAAAAGAAGTGCAAAAGCAATTCAACAGAAGAAGCATAGTCTTGTTCAACAAATGGTGTTGAAGCAACTTCCTGTCCATGGAAAACAACTAAAACTTGACTTAAGTAAATCTCATAGCTTATACAAATACTAACTCAGAAAGGGCTTACCAACTTAAATGTAAAGTATAAAGCAAAACATATTTTGACATATCTTCTACTTTAATAATTAAGCATTGAAAATAAGAAAAAATCATTACGGCGAAGAGCTAGACAAAGAATTCTTATATGTCATACCAAAAGCAAGATTTTTAAGTAGAAAATTCATAATTTGAAACTCATTGAAATTAAGAATATTTGCGTTACAAAAGAACATAAGATGAAGAAAACATAAATTACATTCTTGCAGAAAATATTTGTAAATCACTAATCCAAAAAAGGGAATTGTATCCAGACATACAAAACTACTTAAAACCATAATAAAGAAGATACAAAAATTCAATTATAAAATGAAAAAATACATGGGCAGAAATATTACTGAAGAAGAATGAGATGGCAAATAGCACATAGAAAAGCTAGCCATCCTTAGTCATTAGAGAAATGCAAATTAAAATCCAATAAGATACTAGGATAAGCCTATGAGAATGGCTAAAATTAAATACAATGACAATACCAAATACTTCAAGTTTTTGGAGAAACTGTTCTATTGTTAGTAGGGATGTAAAATGGTACAGTTACATTGGAAAATAGTTTTGCAGTGTTTTATAAAACTAAATATGCAGCTACCTTACAATTCATATTTACTCTTGAATATTTACCTAGAACAATGTAAACTTATTTTTACCCCAAATTCTTGTGTGAATGTTCATAGAAGTTTTATTTTTAATAGCCCCAAACTGGAAACAACCCAGATGCCATTCAGTGGGTACTTGTATGTGCATTAGCATGCCCTTATCATGGAAAAGTCTCCAGCAATAAAAAGGATAAAATATACTTACATACAATATTTTGTATGGATTGCAAGGGAATTATGCTGAATAAAAAAAATCTAATTCCAAAGTGTGTATATTGTATGATTTCATTTATACTGCAATTTACAAAATTATAAATAGGAAGATTGTATTAGTAGTGGCCAGTGATTTTAGAATTGTGTAGAGAGAGTTATAACTATAAAATGACAACAGGAGAATCGCATGAAGTGATGCTATTGTCTTATATCTTGAGAGAATTGAGTAAATATCCTGATTATGATAGTGTACTACTGTTTTGCAAAATGTTACCATTGAGCAAATTTTGGTAAAGGATATGTGCATCTTTCTATATTATTTCTTGCAACTGAACATGATTCTGCAATTATCTCAAGAACTACATTTTAATTAAAATATTGTGTCAAATGATTTACCATGGCTTGGAGCCTTGGCACATGCCTATAATTCCAGTGATTTGGGAGGCCAAAGAAAGAAGATCTCAAGTTCAAGGCCTACCTCAGCAATTTAGCAAGACTCTCAGAATTTGGCAAGACCCTTCAAAATAAAAAGGACTGGGAACACAGAGTAGTTGTAGAACACCCATAGATTCCATCCCTAGTATTCCCCAAAACAACAAAACAAATAAAATAATGTGTTATCATTTTTGGTGGCACTGGGGTACTTGTATGTGCAATAGCTAACTTTGCATATAAAACTGCTAATAGGGCATGACTCTGAAAATATGAATCAAAAATTAACAGGTGAAGAATATAAGGAAATTAATTTTTTTGTAAAGTTGTTTCTATAGATGACAATACAAAAAAAAAAAAAAACCAAAATGTTACACAGTTCTTTCATTTACTTTATCATGAAACATAATAAGGTAAAAATTCAAGGAGAAAATATTTTAAAAGCCTTACACCATGGAATAAAGAATTATCTAGCATCATTCTTTCAAAATAAAGGTAAGGGAGCAGAAAAACTTTTGTTCATTATAATGATAGTTATCTGAACTATTTCCATTATTATTATTATTAAATGCAAATTATCTATACATAAAAGGCTTGTTAAGCCATTTAATTGATAAGTTAATGCACACAACAACAACAACAACAGTATCTTTGAATAGAAGCTTATATGTTCAACTTCTGAAATTCTTTGCAAGTGGATTATTTAAATAATAATAATAATAATAATAATAATAATAATAATAGTGATTATTTCTTGCCTAGTAGCTAAATGTCATGTGCTAAAATGTCAATGCCCTTGGACTTCCCTCACATCAACACCAAGGCTTGCTATTTCAACTGCTGTTTATAAAGATTTGGAGTATCTCTTTTCAGTTTGGAAGACATAGGAAGCTCATTAGCTTCACATCCATTGGCATACTTGAATTTTTTAAAAAATTAATTTGTTTGTTCTAATTTGTTGTACATGACATCAGAAGGCATTTTGATTCATAGTACACAAATGAGGCACAACTTTTCACTTCTCTGGTTGTACACAAAGAAGAGTGGCAAGTTTCTGTTTTTTTTTTTTTTTTTTTTTTTTTAGTATATTACTTTCTCATGGATGCCATTTGACACACATTAAACTTTCAGCCTTTGTCTTTTAGTTTCACCTTCCATTTAAATGTAGAAACATGAAAATATGACAAACGTCATTGTTTTGAAAACTTCAGCCCTTCATTCATTCTTATAAATACACATAATTATGGGGCATTTCAATGAGGTTTCTTGAAGCATTGAATCTAACCATATATTTAAACACAAAAAAGAAATGCAATTCAGATTACTAATGTGCTACATTATTTTCCCATCAACAGTAAATAATGAAATGAACTGTTAGACTCTGGAAATTCAACTCAATCCTAATCTCACTCAAATGGGGACACACATTTGCCTATCTTGAAGAATTACCTCCACACGTGCAAAATTAATCATAGATAACAACTTTAAAAAATAATCAGCAGATAAGAAATTAAAATCAAGTGACTTGGTATAGTGAGAACAGCTGGTTCAATCAGTACTTTTTAACTGTAATACCATGACATTATTTATCAATGCCCCCACAGAACCTCTATTTCTATTAAGAATTATGTTTGAACATATAATAATTGGTAGATCCCAAGATAAAGAACAAGTGTTGCCCAAGGAACAACACATTTGTTATTTTAAAAATCCAGTGGAAATTTATCTCAAATACAACTATTTATAATCCAATACATTTTCCAACATTAACTCTAAAGTATGTTATCAGTGTTTAAAGATACATTTATGTCTAAATTTTATAACTTTGACCTAGTTTAATGTCTTAAGACATTGGAAGCCATAGCTCAGCATGAAGATAATTGTTATAGGTGACTGTGATAGGGAAATATGGTCCTTATAAGTAGGAATGGGAGGTGCAAATCATAATTTCAGAAGTAGAAGTTGAATTTTTATTTGAAAAAAAGAAATACTAGGTGCTTCAGAAGTCTCAGCATGGCCAAGACAGTCTCTCCAAGTCAAGAATCAACTTGTCTCAGAGTTTTCTTTATTTATTTGAATAAGATGAAATATAGAAAGGCAAATAAATAGATTTAAACACACCTTCCATATGCCTATATCTAGCTTTCTAATGTTCTAATAGTATAACATTCATGATCACTCATGCAGGCTATGATTCATAATCCATGAAGGGCTAAATGCTTAAACTGAGATTTTTTAACTGCTAGTGTGTTACATGGATACTGTTTCAATGCATTATCATTAAACAAACTGCATATGTCTCTTCCACAAGCTGACAAAGATGTGAAGATGTGTGATGAGTTTTCTTGGGGATAATGGCACAGACTTTGTTATTAACTTTGGTATTGGCCCTGCGAGACTCAGAAAAATTTTGGGTATTGATCTAGCAATTTTAGTTAACAAAACAATACAGAACACAATTTTTGTATTTCCTAACTTGGCAATGCTGTCTTCCTCTTCCTGTGCACATACACACATTACCTAAATCATCTTTGCAGATGTGTGTGAACCAGAGGTATCTCTGCTCTATCTGTCTGTGAAGGGCAATAACAAAATGTTACAACCCATTTAGCAATAAACTATGCATCCTTTCTGCAAGTCTTTGCTTACATTTTATTTCCAACATTTTACCTCCTGTATAAATTTTATTTCATAGTCTTTAGTAATTTCTGGCAACATAAGTAGATACCCAGATGGCATCTCTTTTCTCCATAAGCTAGAAATAATGTCTCAATATAAATTCCAATCCCATCTTTTTTTATGATTTAGCTTCTAAATTTTAGAAAGCAGCAACACAAGCAAATATTGAGACAATACCTTTAGCTGAAAGAGATAGCAACAGATTTAAAGTATGAGGATGTAGCATGTGATTTCATTGATACAACGGTAATGGAATTAAAACAATACCTGATGACACAGGCGTAAAGACCACTGTCCTGCAGCAATGTTGGTCGGAACCAAATGGAGTCTTCTTCCTTGCTCATTCTACTACCATCAAAAGCAATTGGCTCTTCAAAGTCTCCAGGACCAGAGCTTTTGTACCACATCAAACTGAGTCCAGCACTTTGGGCAAGGGAGTAATTTGCTCTGATATAACCATAAAAAAGTGCGCATTTGATTCGAACAGGCTCTCCCACCAAAACTTGGTATTTCTTGATATCGACAGACCAATCTGTGCATCCATCAGCTACAGTAAAAAGAGACAGAAAAACATTAGATAGAAAAATTAAGCAATGAATTCATTCATTCATTCATTTAATAAATGTTTAATGAATATCTACATATATGCAGATTTACTCAAGACAAAGAAAATGTAACAGGGAACAAAACTCAGAAGGAGCATGAAAAGTAGTTTACCCTGCTAGTAAACAATGTATTCTTTACTTAGTCTGCTCCTGTTGGTACTTATTTTTACTTTATAACAGTAGGTTCATTAGTATTTATTATCCCTCAGTTCTTAATATACTTCTTTGCCTGCTCTGTGAAAATAGATTTGGACCCTAAAAATATTTCCTTTGCTAGCAGGTATTCAAGCTTCGTCAGTAGAGGGTGCTGGAGAGACATTACAGGAGGAAAGGGTTTTGCTTCCTAGTCCCAGCATGCTTGCTTGACAGGTTCTTGTAAGTGTACAAGTCTTCTCCAGCAGCTGGCTCCTGCAGGCAGCAGCTTGACAATTTTTTTTTTTTTTTTTTTTTTTTAGCAGAGTCTCAGGTAATACAACTTTTCATGAATAGTTTTACCAAGAATATAATAGGGAGTGTCTGTGTGAACTTCCAGAGGGCAGGTTTCTAACAAGTTCTGATAGCACAGCACCTCAGTGACTTCTGCCATTCAGTTAATCACGATTTTACCTTTCCAATAAGACTTGAAACTCTACTTATGGATAGAAGTATGGGAATTTTTCTTTGGGTGGTCTGTCTCATCCCTAGGGATTATAGCAGTTACTCTTCTACTCCTTCGTGTTATTTTTTGCTATGAACTGAATGTGACCACAATTCATAATTTGAAAAACTAACAACCAATGTGATGGTGTTTGAAGATTAGACCATAGGGAGGTAATTAGAGTAAGATGAGGTCATGAGGCTGAGGCTTTTCTAATAGGATTAGAGCACTTATAAGAAGAGACTTGGGAAATTGTCCCTTGTGCTCACAAGACAAAGAAAGAATGTAGTCATCTGCAAGCCAGGAAGAGAGTCATCACCAGAAACCAACTATTTGGCTTCTTGATTAAGAGCTTTCCAACTATCAGAACTAGGAGTAATAAATTTCTATTTTTCTAAGCCATTTAGTTCTATGATATTTTGATATGGCAACATAAATAGAATAATACATATTCCTTTCATACTAGCCATTCCTTTCATTACTCCAATCTGTTGTTGCATTTAATACTTATTTATAAAATATTTCTCTTTCAAATTACTATGCAGATTTTTCCTGCTGATATGACTCTGACTGATAAACTCAGGAATAAAGATCTTATAGCTAGCAAAATAACAAGAAATAAAAATAGAGTTGTTAGCAAGAAAATAAATTAGGCATCACTCAAAATATGTGAATGATGAACAAAAGGCAAAGACCAAGAATAAAAAGACCTCTAACAGCAGTAACAAGCAGTGTTCAACTCCACAAATGAAAAAGAAGTCAACCCAAATGCTGTGAGAACAAGATGAACAACTTAAAATTCAAGAGAAGGAAAAATGATCGAAATGAAAATAAATATGTACATTAGAACAAAGAAGACAAATAACAAGACACGGAATTAATTATTAATTTAAAAATAATTTGTACTATCTACTAACAACTTATATATTCACCAGTGAATTTACAAATTTTGATTTATGTTTCACATAAACATCCATTATGGTTTTGGAACTTGCTGCTCCCTTTGTCTGAAATCTTTTTTAAGTACCAGGGATTTAACCCAGGGGTACTTAACCACTGAGACACATCACAGCCCTTTTTAACTGTTTTCTTGTGAGACAGGGTCCAGCCACTGGGGTTACAGGTGTGTATCAACATGCCTGGCTTGTCTGAAATGTTTTAAACCATTGAGTTGCATGGCTTTCTCTCCTCTTTCTATTTCCCTCTAAATATCACTTTGCAAAAGAGGCTTTTGCTGATTGTCCTGTATGAAATATTGTCTTACCATCCTGGTAACTTGATCTGGATTCTGGTTTAATATATTTCATAGGACTTAGTTTTATCCAACATTATATTGCATTACATTTTACATTCATTTGTTCCTTTGGTTTTGGTCTCCTCAACAGAACGTAAGATCCTTGAGATCAGGGACTTTTTTCTTGTCACTCACTTCTTTGAAAATCCTGGTGCCTAGAAGTACCTGCTAGCCAGCTTGGCATACATTTACTAAACTCATGAGTGAATAAATAAACAAATTAATGACCAAACCATAAATTGAAGCAACTCCATGTCCCCTCACAAGTGCTGCGATTATAATACAGCTATGCCTGAATCCAGAATTCATTCTTTCTATAACTATGTATTATGTTTGTACATAAAGATGTCAATTTCAAACTATTGTTTGATATAGTCTATTTTATTTACCTAATTAGAGTTTAAGATTCTTAATAAAGGAATTGAGTCATGATAGAGAGTAAATATGCAAGAAGCTTGGTGGAAATCATCAATGTCACTCATTGCCATCATTCCTGTAAATGACAACTTCAGAGCTGGAATCATACACTAAAGAGGATAAAAGCACTGTACAAACATATGTCAAGGTTACATAAATGCATAGGGTATTTGTCAATGCAGTTTTGTACATTTCTCCATTACACAAAATGAATCCTAGGCAGGATTTTATTTTAAAGGTTATAATTTCAGTGACAAGCATAGAATTATCTTGTGTTGCCACAATGAGAACTACAGCATGATTCTGGAATCAAGTAATTGTAACTGAGGATAGCACTGCTAGTGAAAAGATTGAAATACCTTCAAGGTAGAAGTTTAAAGAGTAAGATGAAATTATTCAAAGTCTTAGAAGATTTGTAAGATAAAGAAAAATGCTTAAAGGTAAAAGCAAAAAGATTTAGTTTAGAAAGTTCTAAAAAGATACTAACAAATTAGATTAAGAGAACAGAGGGAGAATTGTACTGGAAATATATGCATATAGATATTAATACATACTTCAGTATAGGCTGAGTTAAATGTTGAAAAAAAAAGACAAATATTCCTGAAAAGTAAAGTTATTCTGAACTTCAATATCAGTCAGGTGGGATATTTCAAGCAGCTGGGTGGCAAGGAAAAAACATGTGGCAAGGAAAAAACAGAGGGAATGATGAATAAATTATAGCACTTTGGACAATAGAGACACTTTATATTCATATTAATATGGAAATGGATAAAGGATCTATGATTTAGGAGGTTTTGCCAAAATTCCATTAGTACCATGTTGCTCAAAAATGAACTGTCAAATTATTGAGATGTTTTTAATATTCTTGGAAAAAGATGGCAAATACAAAAAGGAATAATTTGAGATATTGTCAAATTATTTGTGTAAATGTATTTAAATAAATGATGGACTTATGCCCCCTTTCAGTATTTACAGTAAAATATTTTAGTAATTGAAAGAAGTGATAACATATTTACTTTCTTCCTTTGTTAACATTTTGCCTCAGTTGTTCACATTCTCTCTTATTCTGTGTCCATGAATGACATTTTTTTCTTAAATCCAGTCAAAATAAATTAGAGTCATGATGACACTTTACTCCAAAATATTTCAGCATCTTCTTTTTAATAAAGGTATTTTTGTCATATTATCACAAGTTATTATTTTCCACTTTGTGAAACAAGGCATCTCAAATCTTAAAAATATACATAATAATATAAAACTAAACTCTTTAAAAATATTTTTAGTTATAGATGGACACAATAATTTTATTTTACTTATTTTTATGTGGTTCTGAGGATCAAACCCAGTGCCTCACACATGCTAGGCAAGTGCTCCACCACTGAGTCACAAACCCAGTCCCCTAAAAGTAAACTCATGATGACAAGAATTACTGATACATTCAGTTTTTCCTTATTTCAGCACACAAGATCTTATGGGAATGATCATTTCAAAAGTACATTTCTAGATACTGTTCATTCTATTATGTAAGTTACCAGGTTTGTTACTTTTGAAAAATTATCATCAAGTAATTATACAGACTAGTAATAATTTGTATTTTTTTTTCCTTTCAGAATCAAATACCCTTGTATAAAGCCTCTCACAGAAAAGTTCCCTGATGGGAAGGTTCCAAGGAAATACTCTATTTCAATACAACTTTGGAGTACAAATTCCATAGAGCAAATGGGAAGCAAAAAGAAAAAAAAATGTGTCAGGGGGTAGGAATAAAAAGCACCATCTTCATTCCTTTTTGTTACCATCCACAAATTTCCAAGAAGTTCCAAGTACTTATACAAAGAACATATATATTCCAAGAACTTATATGAGGACAGTGGAAGAATTGAGATTTGAGACTAATTATTTTTTGAGAGTTTATAATGAAGTATAATTTCAAGAACAAAAGCTACATATGCTGGATAATGTCAATATATTCAAATAAGATCAGAAAAAGTATTCTTAATTAAATCACTATTACTACATATGTAAGAGCTCAAAATATTTCCATGGTAACAAGCTCGAAGGTTGAATCCTTAAAAAAAAAATCTTAGCAAAGAATTGCACATATTACATCCTATATGAAAATGTAAGACTTTATTTATAAAAGGGTGAATTATATTACTTTTAAAGTATCTAATTGGAGAGGTATGTTAGAATAATTATAAAACATAAAAAAGTTTTATATACACTATGATAGTGTAGGAGATGCTCCATCTTGGTCCTTTTTTACTAAGCTGATACATCCCATCTTCAACTCATTTGAGCACTGAGTGCTAACAGCTCACAGTCATCTTTTCTTGAAAATTACTTTTGTTATTTTTTTTAAATAATGTTGGTATATTATAATTATACATAATAGTGGTATTTGTTGTTACATATTTGTTTATGTACAAAATATAACAATATAATTTGGTTAAATATAACAATATAATTTGGTATCTCCACAGTAACTCCCCTCTAGTATCCCCCTGGCCCTTTCCTCTATGAAAATTATTTTTGACTGACAAAAGCAACCCTTCTGAAAAATTGACACTCCCTTGGCTCACTGGTAATAAGGGACT